TTCTCCGCCATCGAGTCCCGAGGCCCAAGCGACGCCGCCAACCTCCTCCCTCCAGCTCGGTCTTCCCGCTTACTGCTAATTGAAGCATTTTGACCCACAATTCTCCCCCCAAATTTTCCTGGATAATAATTCTCATAAATATTGGGAAAGACAGCTTCTCTCTCTCTCTCTCTCTCTCTCTCTCTCTCTCTCTCTCTCTCTCTCTCTCTCTCTCTCTCTCTCTCTCTCTCTCTCTCTCTCTCTCTCTCTCTCTCTCTCTCTCTCTCTCTCTCTCTCTCTCTCCCTCTCTCTCTCTCTTCTCTCTCTCTCTCTCTCTTCTCTCTCTCTCTCTCTCTCTCTCTCTCTCTCTCTCTCTCTCTCTCTCCCTCCTCCCTCCCTCCCTCCCTCCCCCTCCCTCCCTCCCTCCCCTCCTCTCTCCCTCCCTCTCTCTCAAGCAATGAGCGTGATTCGCCGTCATCCCGCATTAGCCTTATATAATCTCGTTTACTCACGCGATTCCCTGTAATTTATAAACACACCATTTACAAAGAGGCCGAGGAAGGTTTTGGCGTGCGGGCTGGTCGCCTTTTCGACCGTGTCCCTGTGTCTTCTTCTCGCTGTCTCTTATCTCCTGGCTTTATCGTCTTATTTGTCCTTCCTTTTTCGTTGCTGGCCTTTTATCATGATTGCTTTAGTGTGTGAGTTTTATGGACATGTAATGTGAATATTATTTTCATGTGTACATGTATATGTATGATTTACAGATGTGCGTTTGAAAGCGTCTCTTTATGTGTCTGCATGGACGTGTATAAGAACGAGTGTTTATGCGTGTGTGTTATTTCCACTAGTAATAAGAGATAGAATTCAATAAACGATAACGATAAAAAGCGCTCATCGACATGTCGCATTTCAACTTTAAATGCAAACCTTTGCTCTTTTATACCAATATTCTAATGTAAAAATGCACGTTATTTCCCTTATTTTTTAGAATAGCAATTCTTGTTGGCCAGAAGTTAATGAAGGTGAGATAGGTCATTACATCTTCCAGGAAAAAACGTCTTTCTCATTATTTCAATGACTGTTTTAGTCTTTACACAAACCTTCCTGTTTATTTCATTTTTTTAACATTTAACATCACCAATTTTCTCTCTCTTCCGGGATGGAAAACGCTTTTGATCGTCATTGATCTGTTTAGTCCGCTTATCTTATTTTTCAAATAAAAACAATTGCATATTTTTCCAATTAGTTAACAACAGCCAAATTTAATTTTCGCCATTACTTCCGTTGGCTGAATTGCTGAAATATGCAAATCCTTTTTGAAACGGAGAGGCGGCCACCGTGACCTGAGGGGGGGGGGGCGTCGCTTATTTCCGGCCGAAGCCTAATGCATAATGACATTCCTTTTCCTTCGGGCGCGGCGGGCGCCGGCCCTCATTACGCGGGGTAAAAAATGAAAGGGAGATTTGTTAATTATGCGGAGAAATTCGGTAGAGACTGATGGAAAATCTTGGGGATAATTCAGGAAGGGGAATGTAACATGCTAGGATATGCTTTCTCTCTCTCTCTCTTTCACTCTCTCTCTCTCTCTCTCTCTCTCTCTCTCTCTCTCTCTCTCTCTCTCTCCCTCTCTCTCTCTCTCTCTCTCTCTCTCTCTCTCTTCTCTCGTGTGTGTGTGTGTGTGTGTATATACATACATATGTCTATCTATCCATCTCTGTCTATCTCTCTCTCATTCCCTCTTCTATTCCATCTTTTCCCACTAACAGTTGCCGAAAACATAAGAGGTAATTTGTACCTTTTAAGCAAGACAAGTGTGATATTCTTACAGAAAACTCTGGCACTTTTTTACGAGAAAACTCGAGGAATGTTGTGAGATAGAGCTCGCGCAAACAAGTAATCAGTGAGGTGGGGAGGGAGCTGCATCTACACACATGGGGTAAGAATTTTTGAGTTGCGCCGACATGCAAGGTAATGACCGTGAAAGAATGGAAAGCAAGAGAGAAATAACGAAAGAAAGAAAGAAAAAAGAAGACGGGAAGTCTTGGTATAAAATAATATCACGATGTAGGAAAAAAAAACTAGATTGCGAGTCAGAGGCCCATCAACATAATGTTATGTATGCTAATGAGGTAAAAAAGATAACCGATATGTTGACCGGATCTGAGGCATCCAAGAGCAGTTTATATGAAGATATGTTTAACGCAAGGACGCTCCGAACCGGCAATCACAGAATAATCGGGTAATTTCCTCTGCAATTCAGCAGCACCGCTGGATTTCTCTCTCTCTCTTCTCTCTGTTTCTTCCCTTCCTTTTTTCCTCTCTCTTTCTCTCATTTCGTAGCGAGGCTATCATATCCATCTCCCAACGCACCGCCTTTTATCTAGACACGCGAATTTCCTGCCCCTGGGGTCCGGCGGCCCCCCCCCCCCCCCCCTCCACACACGAACGGCGAATTTCCCCGCTAACGAGATCCGAGATAGCATCAAGCGCCGCCGAGGCGACGCGGGCGGCGCAAGGTTCCCCATCGCCAAGGGAAGGCTGAACGCGGCTCGGCTGCCCACCCCGCCCCTTCTGCCGGCGTCGCTGCAGATCCGAACCGGTCATGCGAGAGCCGTCGGTCGTCCGTCCTCGCTGCGCCGGGCAATCAATAGCTGCCTCGGGCATGGGCTTCCGGACGCGCCTGGCGACGCCCGTTTCCACTCTGGGCTGATGACCCGGGCGCCTCGGGGGTCGCCGGGGCGCCGGGCGGGGGAGGGGGGCGCGGCGGCTTCTTGGATGGGCAAGGCGCCGATCGACTCATAATCTACTGCGTGGACTGGGTCAGACCTCGACCCATTCGCAGTTCCTTGTGTCGTCTGAGCCTGAGCGCTGACTGATTCACTATTCGTGAAGTCGGATTCGAGGACTCACTGACGCGGAAGTCCTGTTCCAGTCGGGGAGAGCATTGACTGACTCGCACTCCGTAGACTTGGCTCTGACTGACTGATAGTTCCTGGTGTCGCTTAGACTGAAGCACTGTCCTGATTTCTGCAGCGTCGCAGCTCCCGTGCGGATCCCTTCCTCACTCGCGATCTTGACCTCTTCGTGACGCAGCCACTCCGGGGCAACGACCCTGGCCCGCGACTCGCGCAGTCGGAGTGCTTCTTTGTAGGCTGCGTTTGCTGTATTTGCTTAGGCTATGCACGAGCAAATTTCAAAAATAGAATAAAATCCCACATTATGGTAAATCAATAGAATATCCAATCGCCATTTATCGTCTAGATATAGCCAAGTGAAACACATATCAATCGCCATTTAGGAAATGTTTTCTCCAATACCATTAAAGCCTTTTCTCACAATACTCCCACCCTCTCCCCCTCCCCCTCCCCCTCATATCCTTGTAGGGGGAAGGACTCCACCCAAATCCTATTCCGGCGTCTGAGGGACCGACTCGCTGTCCAAAACGTAATGGATTAGTCTCCCCGGAGCAGCGGACTGAAACACAGGCGATGCGCTTCTGTTTCACATTCCGGGAGATTTATATTTTGCGAAGATTCACTCCAGGATGGATGGCTACGACACAAGGGGGGGAGGGGGGGGGGGCAAGGGAGCTGCATCTAATAGCATTGGCTGCGTAAAACTAGGGTCTGCTTACTCAAAGGGGGCACGGATATAGGATTATATTTTCCCTCCGAGGCTAACGCAGTGACCGAAAAGCATCAAACTTGGAACTTGTGAATCGAGAAATCTGCATTTACCATCTCGCTTTGTCTTGCGGAAAATAAAAGATAAATGAATTTTTAAAACGAAAAAAAAGGTCTTTAATCGGATATTAGAATTTAACGCTCCTTCAGTGGTTCGGCTTGCATAGAGCTGGGTCAGGAAAGGGACTAAAATAAGGATTTATATTCCACCTGGCAACTTAGGTGTTTGTACTAATCAATGTACTTACAAATTACGTTTTATGCAAGTGACTTTTATAAATATCCGGTCATGCAAAGCATTTCGCTTTCTCAAACACAAACAGACGTACACTTACAGACACTCAACACACACCCACACACACGCACGCATATATATATATATATATATATATATATATATATATATATATATATATATATATATATATATATATATATATATATACATATATATATATATATATATATATATATATATATATATATATATATATATATATATATATATATATATATATATATATATATATATATATATATATATATATATATATATATATATATATATATATATATATATATATATATATATATATATATATATATATATATATATATATATATATAATATATATATATATATATATATATATATATATATATATATATATATATATATATATATATATATATATATATAAATACACACACACACACACACACACACACACACACACACACACACATATATATATATATAGATATAGATAGATATATATATATATATATATATATATATATATATATATATATATATATATATATATATATATATGTATATATATCATGTATATACATATATGCATATATACATGTACATACCCATGAGTGTGTGTGTGAATCTTTATGTACACATAGCCTCTCTTCGCGTATCTGAATAGCTGTTCACCTTTTGCCTCTTTCACAGTCTCTGCTTCCTCACTCGAAATTCTTCCAAT